AAAAGCTGTCAGTTCCAGACAGGAGCTAGACCGGACTAGGAAGTGCAGATAATCAAGGTATGATAACTCAGCTTGCTGTGAACTGGGTACGTAACTTTTGTGAAATTATGTATAGTATTTAAAAAAAAGGCAAAATCGTTGTAAATGATAATACTTCTAGTTTGCCAGAGAAGATGGTTGCTTTGATCATCTACTGTTTCATTGTCGCGCTTCTCGCCATTGATGAAACTTTTTGGCTTCTCCTATGTTGAGCCAGAAAAGATAGATGACAGTTAGTAAATGATTCTTTTCAGACATATAAGAGTAACTGACAATTAGTAATTGCTTCTTTTTGAACTTATGGGGATGACACCTCTACGTTGATAAAGTGAAGCTAAATCAGAGCGTATCCGGAAAAGATGGAATCTCGTGAATTTAAGAATTCAAAATTATGATTCGAAGTACCCTTGAGCGCTAATTTTGCTCTCAAAATCTTTGGTATTGCTGCCTTAAATCACGGTTTGCTAGTAGTTAAGTTAATCATCAAATTCGCCCGAACTGATATTACTGAGATGCATCCGTACACCTGAACCGGCTAATGGCGGCCTTTTTGAATTCGGATTTTTACTCTCTATATTTTCAGGAGCTCTCTGAATTATGTTTTTCTTCCTAAGAACTATCATTCACTGATATGCGACGTTCACTGGATATCAACAAAATGTCGGCCATCATATCTAGTTCCTTTCGTGCTTAGCAGAATATCCTTCAATCGCTGGACTTCGCCTTATTAAAATGCGTGCAAAAGTGAGTGGTTTGTTAAAGCTGAGATTTTTTATTAAGAATATAAAATTATGCATAATTTTGTACAATGCAAATGAGAGTGCAGCAGGAAAAGCTTCAAAATCTGAATTTAGCTTATGCTCCAAAGAGTACCGGAAGATTGCACAGTAAGAATCATCAGAAAGATTTATAATGCAATAAGAATCATCAGAAAACATCAGAATTAATACAAAATAGAAAGCTTAAAAAATAACTAAGTGAAAAAAGAACCCTTAGTGTTAGCAGGGAGACAATATTAAACTGCAGCAGAGTAATTAAACCAAAAATATTAAGACTGCCCGGGCAATCAGTGTAAGTGTACTATGATGTTAGTGAAATTACTGGGCGCAGATCTAGTTAAATCTTTCGTTCCTGGTCTGCGTATCACCTATTTGGTTATTTTCGCCAACCTTTTTGAAGTTACCCGAGTGGTCGTTCACTTTCTCGCGAATACACTCATCAGTGCAGTATATCCAAAGGCTCTTACTCCGTAATGACTTAACGCCTAGTTCCCTGTCTCTTAAAAAAAAAAAAAGATTATCTTGAAAAAGCATAAAATTAGTTAAAAAACTGGCTTAGAACCATAATATTAGGACCTGAATATGAAATACAGTCCCTCAAGCTGAAATTTTTTCCTAAATTTTTTCATCTAAAATATGTAACAAATTAAAATTCAGAATTTCGGGTTCACAACTGCTCCCAAATAATCGCAGGTGTGAAATCGATTTTTCGGAGGGGATATTTACAAGACTGACTATTAAGACATCCCAGCTTCTTCCCTTTTGTTCCCAATTGTTTGGAGAGGACAGACACATCAGCAGACGCGCATATATATATATATGAAAGCAGACATGTATACATCAGATCGTTATACGGTCTTTCTCATTTGCATAAATTGCAAAAAAAAAAAACTCATCAACACCTTTTTCTACACATCATACATCACAGACGAGAAGTCAAAACCCCCACTGGAGAAAGCAGCTCGACTGGTAGCAAATGCCAACAGCAAGAATGTCAATGGCTCCTTTTTTCGAGGGTAACTTAGAAGCAAATTGATGGCTTCCTGGCATATGCTAGTAACAATTTATCATAAAAACGAATGTAAGAATCGTAGAAGGAATTGTTGTTGTTGTTTTTTTTTTTTTTTTTTTTTTCACAACGATTGAGTCGAATCGTCCATCTTCTACTGC